CTTTTCATCCGCGTTTGACAATAACGTGATACTAAGAAATATAATTACAAACTTATCCATAGCATCAAATTTAAAACATTATTAAAAGTTTGTGATATATCATAATAAACAGAGCAGCAACAGCAGCCCAGCAGATAAGACCTGAAGATGGTACATGAGATTGTACCGAAACGTCGTCCATACGGTTCTTTTAAGAACCAAAAACCGACACGGAGCAGATCCTGAAAAACCACTAATACATATAACGCCCCTGGAAACCTAAAGCAGAAGCTTTTGTACTTGCAATTTGATTTTAATTAATAGAGGCTCAAAAGAGAGAATAAAAAACTCTATGTAAGCTGTAAAAATTGTTTTTAATGTCACCCGACAGATGCCCACTATAACATTTTTTTTCTATGTCAAAATTCGGAAAAAAATATTAGGGTCGTTTTTTGTAAAAAAAAAAATAAAAAATAAACAATTACGCCACTGAATGCGACATGCTTTAAAATGTATACATACCAAATGTCATCAAAAACTAACAATTATTAACTATTTTAGACAAGTTTTTGGGATACTTTAATCTTAAAACTAAGCAAAAAAATAAAATAACAATTAACAATATTAACAATTAACAATAAAATAACAATTATTAACTATTTTAGACAAGTTTTTGGGATACTTTAATCTTAAAACAAAGCAAAAAAATAAAATAAAAATGGTATTTTTTTAACAAAAAATCGATATTAATTTTTTGACAAAACTTTGAGGTTATATTTTTAAAGTAGGATATGACGTACAGCATAAAAATGTGACTTAAAATCTTGTTTGATTTTAAATTGATTACCTAATATTTGTGAAAGATATAAGCAAATTACTAAACCACTGTAAATCCTGAACGCTATGTATATACGAAACGCGTCACTTAATTAGTTAAATATTGTACAGTACAGTACATACAACTCTTCCAAGTTTGGGCTGATGTCGAGGCAGATAGGTGGCATGTTTGGCGAGTTTTGCCTCATATCCAATATTTTTGGTGGTCCAAATATATTAGAAGTCATTTTCAAGAAAAATGCCTTCTAATATTTTCTTCGGGTACTTGGTTTTTCTGATTCCGAAGGGGGGGTCCGTACCCAAAAACCCCCCCGTAAATCCGCCACTGGTCATGATATGATACCGCCGAATCATGCCGCTTGAATTCTATAACGCAACATCGATACGATGTGGCAACACTGCTGGTCCTCACTTAATGCGTCTAATGAATATATATGCAAAAATCGGACCTCATAAGATGCCATGCATGCTGCAGGATATACGGACCCCGCTTTGTACTCTGCATGATCGGTCCTCACTTTGTCGAATATACAGCCACACAAAAAAAAAATTATTATGGATTTTAAGCGAGTATACTCTTTACCATACTGACGGTAATTTTGAATTGAGCAAGGCCGTATCAAATAAGACCTTTTAAGTACAAGGGAAGCACCGGTCCTCACAACGCTCGTAGGACGGTCGGACCTCACAACTATAGCGGGATGTAAATATATATAGATATATTGTATATTGTGTATACATACAGGGTGTTTCAGAATAAGATGCTGAACCTTAAGGGTGTGAATACTTAGTTGATTTTAAGAAAAAAAGTTCAAATAAACCTATGACCTAAACCTCTTAATTTTTGAGTTACAGGGTGTTAAAGTTTTAAGAAAAAAATTGTTTTTTTATCATAACTTTAATAACTTCCTAGATATTTTTATAAAATTTGGCACATGCCTTCTAAGCAAAAACAGTAAGTTTTTGATGTAGAAGATTTTTTATTTTTTTACCAGTGGCGCCCGTACATGATGTGGTCTAGATATTTTTGGAAAAATATTATGTACGCCACTGCTATTTTTCAAAATATTTTTTTTTTAAATCCCCATTCATTTTAGGGCAAATTTGATTTCTTGACCATTTTTCGCACGACTAACGGTTTTCGATGAAAAAAATAAAAAGCATTTAAATGCGCATATTGAGAAAACAATGCCATGATTAAATAAACATTAAAATTAAATTTTTATTATAAAATAATTTTAAAAGAACTAACATTTAATAACGTAAACAAAAACAAAAATATTTTAGATTAGCTGTTGAAAGTGGCCACCACCTGCAAGTATGCATGCTTCATTCTTCTCTTCATTGAGTTTTGCACCCTTAGGAAAATTCCTGGAGTATTTCTGATAGTGTCACAACAAACTATTTTGGGGTTTCTCAACTCAAATATCTAGGAAGTTATTAAAATTATATCATAAAAAAACGATTTTTTTCTTAAAACTTTAACACCCTGTAACTCAAAAATTAAGAGGTTTAGGTCATAGGTTTATTTGAACTTTTTTTCTTAAAATCAACTAAGGATTCACACCCTTAAGGTTCAGCATCTTATTCTAAAACACCCTGTATTTATTTATATTTATAATAATATAATATGTTTTATAACCATAATTAGTTGCCTCATAGCCGCATGGCTGCGATCTAGGGGGACCCGTCTCAAATAATATTCATTTTAAATCCACGTAAATTATCCAATGTTGTGTAATACAACTCACAAATAACAATACGTTCATTTTAGAAAATGTAAACCAAAGCGTTCAGTACATCACACACTATATGATTTAAAATATAGGTTATGTTTATGTACCCCTCTCGTAAATTTTACTTCAACAGTGGAGTCACTACATTCTATTAAAATTACAAGACCTGTATGATACTTGAAAAGGACAACTTTGGTGATATGTTAAACAAATATTAGAAATATACGTTAAAGAAGTATCTCTAGTAGCGCCACGACTCGGCTGTTATCATCGTAACAAAAGTAGAACTTTTAATAATCAGATGTCAAACGCTTAGGTTACATTTTAAGAATAAAGCCGGATAATGTTAAAAAAATATCGAAACAAAAACCGTGGATCGATTCGTTGTATTGTTGGGTGTATTTCGAGAGGAAATCCTGGGTTGAGTTTTTAGCGGTTTTCCAATAAACAGTGTTAATCTGAATGAAGAAATAAATTGCATACAGTCTCTATAAATATAAATTGTACCTATTAGATACAATAAATACACATTTTAGTAGTGATTAACGTGAAAAGTGTAAACATTTCAATTCAGTAAAAATCGTCAAACAAATATATTTTACATTTACTATATACAGCACATATTCCAAGAAAATAATTAAATGTAAATTTTGTTTTCATACGCCATTTTTTTATTTTTTATATCACGAGCTCACTCATTAAATTTTTATAAAAAATTAACTAAATAATCAATGTTTCAGCTATCAATATGATCCCAATTTGTTTCTTGAGCTTGGAAATAAATTTTTAAAATATTCCATGGGAAATTTGTGGAAAATACAAGTGTTCCCTGGCGAAACTAAAGCGTGCCTGAAAAGTGGGCAGTAATTGTGTGTGTTGTTAGAGTGCAAGTCTTTATAACAATATGCATACACGTTATTTTGTGGTAATTACCGACATTAATGTCGCACTTTTTGAAATAATTAAGTTTTTTCACTCATTATGCACATTGACATCACGCTTATATTACATTATTTTTTAGCACATTGTTCAGTGTTAGTACATTGTTTAAAGACAATTTTGTAAAGCTTCAGTCTATCTAACGCATTTCACACGCTTTATTATTTCTCATTGATCACGCTTATATTACACCTTTTTATAGCACATTGTACAGTTTTAGCGATCACACAGTTTAAGCACATTTTAGATATATCTCGCTTGTGTTGGGGTAAAACATGTATTTAAAAGATGAGGTAGATTACATCTTATGTATCGCTTCTTGGCCTATGGCTAAGATCACATAATACATTGCATGTATTTTTTCTTAATAAAATACAGTATATAGGACCTACATTGTGGGTATTTTTTTTTTAAATTTTTTGAAAAAAAATTTATTAAGTTAATATTAATTATACTTATTAGCATAATCACAAAAAGAATCTGTTTTTGTAGTAGGCACACAGAAGGTGGCAAGAAACAGTGTGCAAACAATGTGAAAAATTAAAATCAGTTCCCTTTAGAAAATTAGGGTCCAGTGATTATTCACTTTTAATTTTTTGGTTTTGCACATTGTTTCATGTTCCATTTCCCACCCTCCGCACATTATTTTTTTTAAATATTGCACATTGTTTTCAAATAATTTTGCACACTTCTTGCACATTTAATTTTTGCCAGGGTTATTTTCCATATTCATTCAAAAATTCCTTTATAAAATCGATCAACTAAAGAGGATCATGTTGATGGGTTAAAAATTGATTATTACAGTATAATTTTTATGTAAATCTCATCAATTTTTTGATCACTTTTTAAAATTGACATTTTAAATTTTGTGCTGCCAACTTAAGATACCCAAAAATATGACAGTTTTAAACCTTAATTTTGTCATTATGACAACAAATTAACATTTATATTTTTTTTACATTTTATGTTGTTTTTTTTAATACTTTAATTTGTAATAAAGTACTATCTTGTTAATTAAAATACAACTTTTTATTTTTTACTACATTGGCACTGAACCTGAACCTACTGTTATCACTCTTCAAATGGAGATACTACCTTAAGTTTTTTAAAGACCTGCAAGAATGTTTATAATATTTTGGTAATGTTTGCAACAGGTTTTACAAAATATTAACAAAGACTAAACTATTTTAGAAAATGGTGCCAATTGCATTTATAGCTGTCATATAAATAAAATAAAACGCTTACCATTATCAAATTTAACATTGGTAAATGGAAGGTTGAGTTTAATGATTAAAGCTAGCTAAATGATAAAACAGCGCCAAAATTGGTCATCAATAAATTAAGAATCTACTCAAAGTTTTTTTTAGAATTGATTATTCCGAAGGTAAAAAAATGTATTATAAAAAATTTAATTTCATTTTGCTCTCTTCAATTAGGAGTTTTGAACCCACAAACCCCCGTGCCCACAATCCTGTTTAAAAGTATATAAGTTAAAAATTCAATCCTTACCTAATACAGCAATCTGTTTGATCTACGACCGGCGACAACTGTTCGTTGCTGGTTTTTCTGCTGGCCGACCTCTGACTCTTATAGGTGGGTCTTGGACTAGGGGAATTACCCCTCGATCTGACCACTCTGATGTGTTCGAGGGATTGACGGGGCGACCCGATGTAGATCGATTCAGTGGACGGCGAAATGGTGCCGATCACGTGCGATATGCAACCGCGCATGCTGTTTTGCAAGTCTTCAAACTCTTGGTCCGACAGGTATTTCGTGAATTCCGGCTTGGAGATCATGAGGAGGAATTCCAGTCCCTGGCCGGCCCATCTGGGGCGCATCCCTCGACCACGTTCGCATCTCTCCGTCACGAATTTCATCCACAACATGGCGAAGTCCACCATGCTTTTCATTAGTCTTTCTCGGTACTTCGGCGCCGCGTTTTCCGACATTTCATTATAAAACTAAAAAAATAATGTAGATATAAAAAAAATTAAAATTCTAATGGTGCATAGAGGCGCAACTCTATGGCACTCCGTTTTACTATTTAATATACCTGGAACATGTGGTAATGTGTTTTACAATAATTGTTTACATTAAGTAATGTAAAGATTAAGTTCGAGATTATATTATTTTAAAACACGAACACTGAAATAATTTGTACTGCATTAAATGTACCGATAAATTAAAGCATTGTATATTGTACTTATTTTATTTGCAAAAGTACAATACAGGGTGTTATGTAATTAATGTTATATATTAAAATACTGAATACCTTTTGACATAAGGAGTAAAGGAAAAATATTAAAAAAATATTTTTCCAAAGGTAAAGAAAAAATATGGATTAGAAGTTTTTTATATTTTTTGTGATACGCCACTGGTTACACACTTGGTTTATCTCTGTAACTTGTTCTGTGAGTACATAGATACCAACCAACAAAGTAGCTGCGCGTTGCCAGATGTAAGAAATTGTTAATAAAAATTTTTCTTGAAAAAAAAAAAAATAAAAACTCAATAAATACAAAAGTTTTATGCCCTTAAAGCTCTAATACCCTTCTGTATTTTTTTACTCATCCAGCTATTAGCTTAAGCAATGATTAGAAAATTTAGTACCTATTTTAAAAAATCCATAACCACAAAATTAATTTTTTCATCGGTTTTTTTCTTTCTGTTTACTCAGATGAAATTGGCAACAGTTCACAGGTTAAACTTTTAACATTTAATTTGTGTAAATAAATCCAAAAGCACTTCCCTAAGTGAAGATATTTACAATTTGAGCACATAACCTAAAATTTGAAAGATTCTGTCATAAAAGTTGGCAGATTTTGGTTTGAATTTACCTTCAGTACAAAAATGACAACCAACAATTAATAAAAACGCCAAATTGACAATTTGCATTGTTAATTTTGTCATTTTTGTAATTAGGCTAAATTTAAACAATGTTTGTCAACTTTTTTGACAGAATTTGGAAACGCTGTTGTTACCAACCATAACATAATAAATTAAATTAGGCAACCAGATTAGCCTAAAGTTCCTAGTCGATCAGTGGCGTACTTTTTGGTAGGATAAAGAATATTATAAATTATTTTTAGTCTTTGGAATTTAGAAAAAAAAAGTTTCAGGTGCTTCTTTATGGACCCTAAGTAACAACCCATTTTAATATATAACATTAATTACATAACACCCTGTATTAGCATTAGTCGTCTACTTTTTGTACAATTTTATAATTGTGGTACGCCTGTTGCAAAAAATAAAATACCTGTTAGATTGTTACAAAACTCAATTATAGGCGTGTTCCAACCTCGTCATTTAATTGGTTGCGACGGTTGCCAGATTCCTTTTCAGTCTGAAGAAAAATATATAAAGATAATTTTAGCATTTGATACAAGTTGAAACGGTTTTAAGACTGTTTAATCATCAGACAGCCTCGGTGACCGGCGCCGTCTACTTTGAAAACAAGCAACCGTAGCCGGCGTTTTTTATTTTATGAACAGTTTTAAGATTTGCATGCAAAAATTATGACAATATAATTGCAATATACAAGTAGAGGAATACTGAAAAAATTATTTCAATGTTTTAATATTTGAAAATATGAATCAGAAATTATTATTTACAATTTATTTCATTAAAAGGCTGACCGTTCAGAACGGTTGTTGGCGACGGTGGAACAAACCTTATGACAATCAGATTTGTTACCAACCAACGTTATGCAAAATGAAAATAACCAACGGTCAGATCTATAAACCATTATCTAGGGATTTTATTTCTTACAACTCACGCGTACCACAATTTTACATTGTATATATGTACTGCAAAAATTATTTAATTCAAAGCAATATGCAATGCTTTAAATCGCCAATGGTATTAATACTGCAAACATAATTTCAATGTTTGAGTATTTGAAAATTTGAATTAGAAATTATTATCTACATTATTTTATCTTATTATTATCTACATTATTATTTAATGCATTGCACAGTTACTGTTTATTTCATTAAAACACTGTAAATGGTTTTAATTTTAAATATTAATATTACACCTAACGTTCTACAACATATATATATTTGGTTCCTTTATAAATGTAGTTAATTCTAGGTTAAACTATTTAATTTTATTTCTTAATCGCCAATTTCGTACTAAACTTTTCATTTCTCATAGGTAATATTTGTTTTTTATTTTCACACATAATACAGGCCGACAAAAATAAAATTTCTGTTTGGTGCATGGCAACCAACAACTTTTTAAGGGTAATTTAGGTACGCTGAATCCAAAAACATCATTTTGCTCAATCAGCTCTTGTTTTTCCGATAGACAAAAAACTATTTTTTTTCGATATGCGCACACCCTAAAAATGGCTGTCGGCCAGTGTAATATAAGTGGTATGATTATAATCATAATAATCATAATTATTATAATCATAATAATCATCGATGATATAATCATAATTATCATCGATGATATAATCATAATTATCATCGATGATATTTTCGAATTAAAATCTAGCTGCAGATTTCACGAGTCAGCAGGACGAGTGAAATGTGCTGCTTCGGTTTCAATGTGTAATTATCATCGATTACTAATCATACCACGAGTTATATTTAGTGAGGATATATAACGAATTTTAGGATTTAACGAATTGTCAGTTTAACATATAAAATTAAAGTTTGGTGCTTTAAAATATAAAAATACATCTATTAATCAAACTTGCCTCAATTTCTTTCGCGCACCCCATTGATCTTTTAGAGTTTAAGAATTCATTATTTTAATCATATAACAAATAGGATTTAAATATCAACAAATGTCAAGTTAAGAAAATCGTCATAATTCTTTTAACGTGTAAACAAGGTGATAAAAAATATTGTCGCTGTGATAAAATGCGTAACTATGGAATACTGGCATTTCATTGGTTCTAATATTAATAAATTATATTGTCACCCATAATAGGGTATGATTATCATCTATAATATTTTTGAATTAAAACCGGTTTCAATGATTAAATATCATCGATTATTAATCATACCACGCGTATAATATAAGAAGTGGTATGATTACCATCGATATTTTCGAATTAAAACCGATTATTAATCATACCATGAGTTATATTTAGTGAGAAAATATAATGAATTTTAGAATTTAACGAATTGTCACTTTGACATTTGAAATTAAAATGTGCTTTAAAATATAAAAAGACTTTAAAAAACCTTATTTATTCAAACTTTCCTTAATTTCATTATCGTTTACACCAACCCATTGATCTTTTAGAGTTTAAAATTCATTATTTTAATCATATATCAAACACAGGATTTAAATGTTAACAAATGTCAAATCAAGAAAAGTGTCAAAATTCTTAGTAACGTGTAAACAAAGTGATAAAAAATATTGTTGCTGTGATAAAATGCGTAACTATGGAATACTGGCATTTTATTGGTTCTAACATAAATGAATTGTATTGTCGATATATTACAGATAAAATAAATAAGTAAATGTGTAGGTTGGTTTCTTCTTTATTTAATAGTAGCTGCTAGGCGAGGTCTAAATATGTGCAAGAAAACGAATTTTTAAAATATTTACCTCGAATCCAAATCTATATCCTTGCATTAATAGCTCCCGTATTCTCGAATTCAAGTTTAACTTATCAGTTTCATCAAAAGACGCCAAACTAATGTGTTCAAATATTACTTGAACTTTACCAATCGCTTTTGGTATTACACATTTAAAGTTGATTATTTGTTCCTGAAATGAATTAAAACGATTATTTAAATAATATGGTATTAATATTTATTTGTTAATTTAACTTTCCCATGTATTTATGAGGTTTATTTAAATAATCATTCGAAATTTACACGCAATTTTTATTATTTTAACATGTTAATGCTCATATTACAAAGAAAAGAAAACTTAATATTTAGATTATCTTATCTACTTACGGTAACACGTTTTAATAATTCGTGGTTAAATATGCCTCCCTTAAGTATCATTCGGAAAAACGCGATGGTTTTCAAACAATTTTCCCTTTCTTCATTGAAGAGTGGTTGCAGTTCCCGGCAAATGTATAACAGATGTTGTCTAAAAAGGAATAATTAGTTTTATTTTACAAACATTTTTCTATGAACTTACTTGATTTGTGCATTATTCGTAGGGATCGTCTCAATCAAATCATCAATTCCTTTAATAAACCTCTTTTGGACGCTTTGCAATATCGACGCGAGTATATTGGAAAAAGTTCTTGCCACAATTTCCGTAGAACCGGGTATCGAACCAATCATTTCACAAGCAAATTCATACTCTCCTTCCAGAAAATTCTTCTGAAACATCACGTGAGCAGACAGAGTGTACATTTCAAGGTAGTTTAAATAATCAGAAAACACTTGCAGGGTGCAACTGTCGAATTCTTTGGTTTTCTTCAAGTAGGTCTCAGGTTCCTCGTTGGTGCCGGCCACAGCACACTGCACATAATCAATGATATGGAACCGGTTGGTAATTGCAATTTTCAGACCTTCCTTCAGTTCCCTCATTAGTTGGCGCATGCTGAGTAAAGAGGGGTTTTCAGGTTTTTGTTCTAGTCTTATTTGCAGATATGCGTGGATTACTTCCAAAGGGATTTGGGAAAGAAAAATGAAGCTTGCTCTGTATGACGGCAAGTTGAGGGCTTCAGCTTCTGGACTCCAACAACCGTATCTTTGGAGTTCCTCTTCATCGTTAAATGTTGCTCTTTCAAATAACCCCTTGGCAGGCTTCTGCAAAGTCATTTTGGCCTTATTTAGAACGTGTTTGTGCAACTTATCAAGGAAACTAAGACTTTTGTGCAATGCTCTGGTTTTGAGTACATTTTCAATATATCTTCTATAAGGAGTATGCACCACATCACTGTCATTCCTTTTGTTGGAAACAAACTCAGTAAGAGGCGAAACACTAAAGTTTTCTCTTGGACTGTCTTTAGAATAATCATTTACGGACGATGCAGAACTATTATTACTATCTGAAGGACTGCTATTCTCATTGAGACAATCCTCATTAAACAAAGGCCAAATTGAACGTTTATTTTCCAACGAGGAAAGCAATTTTCCCAAAATCCCAAGCTTTAATCTTTGATGTTTGGTCATGTTATACCAAAGACTTATAGCTTTAACCCTACCCACAAACCCAGGACTTTGATACAGTGGAAATAGCTCGGCAAAAGCCTTATTTGATGGAAATAAATATTCAGCCTCCTCCAAGCGTTTCATTAACGCTTCCACTTGTTTCAGCGCATGGTTTTGCGCCTCCATGCACCACAAGCAATAATATGACAAGCACCCATTGCAATACTCTTCATTCCCCACACCACTGTCTATAGTATTTGTGGACAATCTTCTAAAATTACGTTCAAACCTATAGTTTATTATATCACTTAAAATACAAGCTACCGATTCTCTGGCCCAGCACAAATAAGTGTCCTGATCAATGGGACTTCTATCAGCATGAAATGCTTGCAACTCCAACCAAATTAAATCCTTCAATTCATTTTGCCACAGCGTTTCCTCTCTGGTAAAACCTCTACGAGAATTCCTGTCGATTTTATCTGCAATACCAACTTTGATCAACGCTTTAAAATCTGCATAAAACTCTAAACGTTTCTGGTTTTCTTCATCGCTATCAATCACTATTCGCGATTCCCTGGGAGATGAGGGAAGTTTTTTAACCGACTGGGACCTTTGGCATTTGGTGGTGCGGCATGATAAACTTAAAAAACGGTTGCAGCCCTCGATTTGATAGCTGGGTATTGGAGTTGTGGGCTCTTCATGCCCTTTCACTTTACTGGTTAATGCTTGGGCACTGACGATGTCTAGTTTTAGGTCACGTTCTGAACCTCGTAGGAGCTTTAGGCTTCTTTTATTTGTCCTTTTTACTTCTAAAATAAACATTCAACAATATATGAATTGTTTAAGAAAAATTTATATATTTTACCTTCGCCATCTGAATTTTCTGCTTTGGCTAATAGCTCATCATATATATTACTCGCAGTATTTCTTCGACTTATTGGAGATTTAATTTTCGGTGATGCTATGTAACTAAAAATAAATAATATACACATGATTACAGTAAATCTATGTGTTAGTCTATTACAAAACTAAACTAATTAATCATTATTTTTATATAATTCAGGCAGTATAAAATTATACCTTTAAACTTTGAGTTCTAAATTAAGAAGAAAAGTGTATATAAAGCTTTGTTTTTAGGATACAGAGTGTTTAAGTTTAATTTAATTTTGTTAATTAACTAAATTAAATTAAACTTAAACATTAATACAGAGGCGGTGATGGGGCATCCAAACTAGATTTAAAAAAATAAAATTCGGGTACTCTACTGCTTTTTATAAGTTTAATAATATTATTATTTTAAGATTAAACAATTTAAAAAACAACTTTTTTGTCTCTTGCATTTTGCTTAATTTTCAAGAAAAAAATTAAATTCGTTTATCCGCTTGTGACTTTCTTTCCTCTCCAGGGGCGAGCAAAAAAACAAATTTCATTTGTTTTTTTAAATTAAACAAGATAGAGAAAAAATGTAGGAAGCAAAAAAGTTATATTTTTAATTTCTTAAAATAAAACTAAACTTATAAAAAAGCAGTAGAGTAGGTACCCAATTTTTATTAAACCTCTTTTTCCATACAAGCCTGAGGAAAGTACTTTTTTGCACATATACTTTCCGCACGCTTGCAACTAGAACATTCCTTAACGAGTGTAGATTCTACACTGTGCGAAGTTTGCAAGACAATTCAAAGGCGAGTTTTACAATCATTTTTGTTAAAAAAGCTCTTTTGCATAAGCAACAATGTGGAGAAAAGACGAGTTTTGCGAATGGAGGAGTGGCGGAAGTTGCATTTTCGCCGCGGTGTTAAGAACAACGCGTGCAGTGGCGTACCGAAAAGTAGCACTTTCCGCACTTGTTAGGTATTAGCTATTACTACTAAAGGGTGTCTCAAAAGTAACGCAAGATTTGAAATAAATAGAAAACACAGTTTTTAGCCTTTAGATTGTTATTTTTTTATTGAATCACAAAGTACATAGGATAGGGTTATTTATGGAATAACACATTGGGCAAATAGCCTCCACGGCTTTGCTGGAACATGCGCACTTTTGACTGCTTGACTAGCCTCATTTCGAAAAAAGTATGGTCCAATGATGCCTCCAGCCCAAAATCCGCACCAAACAGTGACACGATGTGGAAGCATTTGTTTTTCGACAATCACATCTGGGTCTCCGAACCCCAAACAGGGCAATTCTGGCGATTAACAAAGCCATCAAGGTGAAAATTGAAATTCAACCACATTTATGCCAGCAAAGCCGTGGAGGCCATTTGCCCGATGTGTTATTCCATAAATAACCCTATCCTATGTACTTTGTGATTCAATAAAAAATAACAATTTAAAGACTAAAAACTGTGTTTTCTATTTAATTCAAATCTTACGTTACTTTTGATACACCCTTTACTACTAGTAGTTTACATAACAAGAGTGGTAAGTTGCAATTTACGCGGAAGCGAAAAAACTTACGCACGAGACGTCGCGAGTGCCTAATTCAGGGCCGTGCGCAGGATTTGCTGGTTATTAAAATTCAGTATTTTAACTGAATTTTCATAAAATATTATATATTTATAGGCTATTTTTAAGTATTTTAAAAATTTCATACAAAAATATGTATTTTAGGTTATTTTTTAATATTTCAAGTGAAAACTGTAGTACCCTTCTGGGGGGCGTGAACTTTCAAACGCCCCGTGCGCACGGCCCTGGCCTAATTGCTTTACCTCCCAGAAAAATGTACACTAATTTTTTACCTTTTGATTTTTTTAAATTTGACATTGACATTTCCAAAAAATATTTACTTAATTTTGTCAACATAACGTTAGTAATAAACCAAACAAGCCACCATTTCGTAGCACAACTGTAACTATAGTAACTACATCATAATCTCAAGAAATGTCCTAACCTTATATAGGCGCACACTGATTGGATTATTGCTTTATTATAAAAATTAACTAGTCTTAAATTTCAAGAAACACCGCCAAACCATTTAATTTTTTATATTCCACGCTCTTTTTAACCATTCCAGTAAATCTTCATATTATTTATTTATAGAGATGGGAATCGGAAAGTTTCCATTTTAAGGAAACTTTCCATTTTGGAAAGTTTCCAATTGGGAATTTATTTTCATTTTGAAAGTTTCTTTTAAGCTACCGGAAACATTCCTTGGAAACATTTCTTGAAAACTTTCCTTGTTTTTTTCATTTAAATGTCAATTGTTTAACCTAAGAAGATTATATTCAGGAGCTTCAACTCCATAGAAATTTGAGGAGTGGGGGGGACCATATTTACGTCGCACGTGTACAATGACCGAGAACGTATCTCCCCTCCAATCCTTTGAAGAGATAAATAAAAGAAGGTATCTTTTTAACCTCTATTATTTTTTGCATCTATCAAGCGTCAAATGTGTCACAACCAAGTTTACCTTTACGATTGATTCACTCAACGCCTTTTCCAAAGTCGTAAATAATAATAAATAATATTATAATAAAGTCTTATTGGAACATTTTGCTGAAACAGTGAGTAAATTTATGAAATAATCAGTATGTCGTTGGAACAGAAAGCGTAAACTGTTAGGTATGATGTTAATTTGGTTATCAGTGACTGCCAAACTTCGACGGTACAAGGAAGTCCATCCACCCAAAGAACTGTTTACTATTATATAACTGATTGACATGAAGCGAATTGGTTGCATTGTTTTTACATTTCTATAAACTTACTGAATTTTGCAATGTACAATGTACGATTGGTGGCTTGAGTTATGATGATCTAAAGACTTTTTGAACGGAAACCTTGTATTTATAGTGTCATATTAATTTAACCTGCCCATTATTTACCAAGTAAACATAACCTAACTTTAACTTTATATGTACTTTATAAATATTTTTCCTTTTTAAAACCTCATTTGCAAGCCTGTCAAAGAAAACTGTGCGTACCTTCCTGTTGCCATTGGGTGACCTAAAAAAATATTGTGACCAGCTTGATTGACTATATTTGCATTATATTCAGTTATTTTAATACGATATTTTTTAGATTTGCCTTAAATCTACAAAATTAAATAAGTATACTATACTAAGATTGTGCTACTATAGTAGCACAATCTTCCAACCAATGCGTGCACTGCAGTTAATCACGTGAGTCGACAGAATATGCGCGGTTGATTAAAAATCGTTTGTGCGCAGTGTACACCAAAGAAGACGTCCCCTCCTTTATCGACGCTGCCAAGCGACGCTTTTCTATCTATTATCAAATGCGGAGTTGAAGCTCCTGAATATAATCTTCTTAGTTTAACTGCTGATTTTCGTTAAGGCCATGATACAAGGCCAAGAAACTCTGAATAAGAATTTAATGTGTGTTAATTTAAAGCAGAAGAAGAAGTATAAATAATGTAAGTTATGTTACAATGTAACAGTTACATAACCTCAATGAAGCCGGATTATTAAGCATCATCACAAAAAACTTTTTTAAAAAAAGGTAAACAAAATAAAAACAATAAACAAAGTTAAAATCATTCTTACATTTTTGTTGTTTATTTATAGGCATAGTACAATGCCAAGAGAAAAATCTAGTGTTTGGAATTATTACAAAATAGTGCAAAAAAACAATAATTTTACTTTTACTTTTTAATAATCCTTTATATTAGTTACTTTGTCCATTTTAATTTTTTTACGTAATATCTAGGATTTACTACCAGTGAATTTCTAGTATTAAACATTTTATTTTTATTTTGTAGGTTTCAGTATACAATAGGAATATTCCAAAGCACGGCGTTCTCTACAGAGAACGCTGTGTCCAAAGTAAAAATACTAAAAATAGTATTGCAGTTACATTCTTATAAACATTTTTTTTTCTTAATAAAATTTGACAAAAAGTTAATGTGTTATATATTTTTGCAAATACCTGGCATAAAAAAAAATATTTTCGCAATAAAAATTTTTTTTTTTTTTAAACTTTCGGAAAGTTTCGGGAATTTTCGATGGAAAGTTTCCGGTAATTTTCGTCAAATGGGAATTTTCCCATCTCTAGAAAATATTGAGGCTGATTTATTTGTACTTTTTTTTAAACTAGCTACATTATGCAGAGTATTTATTACTATTAATTTTACCTAGATAGAAATTAGTGTTTATTTAAATATTAATTTTTAATTAGCGTTAACAAAATTAAAACAATTCTACTCATTCAATTGGAGAATAGCAGCCACCTGCAAATAATAAAAAAATTAAAAAGAAGTCGGGGAACCACAGCCGCCGGTCTATCATGGGCAAGGAAACACGCACACCCTTTACTGTTGACCAATTACAAAATATATCTGGAAAGCGATCCGGCCTGAGCGATCCGGCCGAAGCGATCCGGCCGGAACGGTAGTTCCGGCCAACTGGCCGGATCGGCCGGATTTAGTGGTACCGCCGGAATTCCGGTGCATCCCTATATTCCTTAATACTATTTAATTTTTATTTTTCTTTACATTAATTACCTATATCTATTTATAGACCTACATATATAAAAACTTATTTTTATACTTACAAAACTTACATAAGATAACTGTATTACATTGTAAAACTTTTGTAGGCCCTGTTATCAGTATGGCTATACTGTTTTGGGGTCAGAAATAAATAAATAAATATATAAAAATAGTATGTCCCTATACCTAAAGTAACTCAATTTTACCAACCCTGTATAATGTAGATCAAATTTTCTTATTTAGAACTAATACACAGGACCTCCCTAAACTACTCCCAAAATTTCAAATTTCTACGAATCCCAGTGGCGTAGTAAAAATAAATTAATTGGAGCTATATTTTCAAGAAAAAATAAAGAAATTAATTTATATTTCGAAAACCACTAGAGTTAGTTATAGGGAAGTTTATACGAAAATATTCAGAATGCAATAACGGATCAAAAATATCACCGGTGATGCTACTTTTTTGTATACGCGGCAACGTCGCATCGTTAAAAATATTTTAGATCGATAGATCAGTAACCAAATTTTCAGATCATGTATGTAGATCTATGTACAATTCTCCGTAAACGTCTAACGTACCATCGACTATCAATCACCCTGTATACAGGGTGTCCCATAATTAGCGTGCAATACTTTAACAACAGATTCTAGGTACTTACAAAAATAAGAAAAAAAGTTCCTATAAAAATAGGTTGAGAAATGCTTTCCAAGGGAGCTACAGCCCCCAAAAGAGTAGCCCCTGAAGATGGTTTTTATTTAATATCTCCAAAACCGTTTAAGATAGAAAAGTGGAATTTTGGGATATAACCAAACTTCTTATGGCCAATAAGATGTAATAATAACAATTCAAAATTTTCATGCGAGATAGATAGGGAATTTTTCTTTTGCGCCGGCCTCTCAGCTAACGCCGGCCCTGCCTGTATGTATTTCACAATATTATAAAACTAAACAAAAATTGCATACCCTTTTTCTTTTTGTTTTTTTTCTCGATTTTTTCGTAAAATTTTCGTTCTTGGTGGTGTTTTTCCATAAACATCGCCTAAATCATCAATATCTTGCTCTTCCATTTTATAATTATAAATTAATAACAACTTTGCAAAATACGTGTTATTGTTTTATCTTTATCAGATTATATCACATTTTTCCCATATAGATAATTGGTATTATCTTCCACATTAAAAAATTAAACATTACACTTATTTACACTTATTCTATCTAATTAGTTTAATCCTAGATTGTTTACATAACCTATAGGTATCGTTGAAATAATTTAGAACACGAAACACAAGTAAAACTCAATCAATGCACGTATATCAACTAATCGAGCATATATTATGCAAGTATATTGGTACAAATTTAAAATATTTATTTTATAACAAACACAAACAACACTGCACAAATGGGAATTTTTAGAATTTAAAGTTGGCTATGGCGGTATTAAGAAAGTCAGGTGCTTAGTCCACTGTTGCCATATTGCTATTTAATTTATTGTTTTAGGATTTTGTTTAATTTTCAAAGCAATTAGGTAGGTATATAAAATGGTATTTGAAAAAAATATGAGACAATTATAAATATTAATTTAAAAATTAAGGTAAAAGCATTGATTCTTCACTCAACGGTAAAAGTTAACTCTTTTTCTGTTATAACATAGTTTTATAAACGAGAATTAACGTTCCGATTGGCGATACTTTTTAATTCTTGGCAACTATGCCGGTTTCTTTTTGGAATTCCCCTTTAACCGCTTACCTAAAGGAATTTCCCATCATATATACAGGGTGACAATTTTAAAACGAACCGCACTTGGTATTTCTTTAACTGATGACACTATGAAAATTTGACGAAACACGTCAATTTATATGGCGACAACTGACTTCCAGAGCGCCTACCCCTAAAATTTACATAGCAACCTATATATAGGTAGCGTTTTATTTTGGGAGCAGCTCATTGCATCGAAACTCAATAGATCGAATCTCGCTAGATCGAAAATTTACATGACCTTCGAAGCTCACCAGATCGAAAATGTGTGGCATCGTCGCACTTTAAACATTAAATTGGTAAGGTTTGGTTCACATTTTTCATTAGGAAAAAGCGATTTTTCTTAAATGCAAACAAAGTTCGATCTGGGATGCCTGTAGATGTATATACAGTATAGTAGTTTAAGCAACAAAATTTAAAAAGTTATTTATTCTTAGGTAGGTACTTTAAAATGGTAATTTGTATTTATATGAATACTTGAAAACATTGACAAGTGATGTTGTATTTTTATTCTATGGTTGTAAGAAGTGATTTTGACATGTAAGTTTAAAAATATTTTTTATAATAAAATTAAGTTTTTTTTTGTAGAATTCCAATTACCTATTCAAAGTTGAAAGTAGAAACAGTTGGTCAATTTAGGATAGATTTGTAGCATGACCATTAAATTTTCCCCAGGGCAACAGTAATATATGTCAGCATCGCCAACCAGTCCTTTAAACATTTTAAATTTTGAAATAATAGAATTAATATCTTAGATGACCTTTTTATGTATAATTTGATGAGTATGCACTTAATATCTATTTTAAATGTGTGTTTTACTAAATATTGTATGTTTTCAGTACCTCCTGAGGATGCCGAAAGGTGAAAGTAGTCAAGATAATTAAAAAATAAAAATATCCATGATGCGAAATTGTCACCGACACTGAGTTAGAGAAAGGAGAGAAACATACAAGATCTTTTATGTATCCTTCGAAGGATACTATGTGACAAGGGGTGAAACAGAATTGGCAAAACTGAAAACATGACTACTAATCGATGAGTTGCCAGTTGGTACAAAATTATGCAACCAAGCACACATACACGTATGCTTTGTTGCTTGATTCTTCCAAAACTCGGCCATGATGAAAAAAAGTCGGACATCATGTTTTGTGTGCCATTGGGTCCTGTTTGCTTATAAGAACTTCTTAAGAAGGCTTATTTAACTGTGTACAGTTTAAAACGTAAGTATTTTGTTTAATTGTCAGCTTTTTAGCAAACCTTGGTTTTCTATTACTGAAGTCCAGTTGGTTCATAAAAAAGAATAATTCGGTTATTAACTTGTGGCAATACAAATAAAGCAATATTATAAACTTGTCAGTGTTCTAAAATATATTAGTAAAAATTATAATCAATACTTTACAAACAAAATTATTTGGAATGAAAAAATATTAGAAGCAGTTTAAATTGTTAATAACAACAATTTGTTATGTTTTATTTCAAATGTTAAATCTTATAGGTTTGTTACCTTATTTTTTAACCAAAGTTTACTAATTATTATTATAGTCATTGCAATAATATTGTAACATAATTATTAATAGCCACATAAAATTTTTTGAATAATGTGTACATTTAAATACATCCATTTAGATACATAAATGAGAAAAATGCATCCAAAAAGAATTTAACAGTGGAACATTTTAAAAAAATTTAAAAAAGGTAGAATTTTTTAAATTTAAATTTCATCAGTGTTAATGTCTGTTATATTATTGTTTTACCAAAAATTGCCCAATATATTTTTGCTTTAAATTTTATGTTAATTAAATTTTTAATTTTTAAAAGGAGTTGGAATATGGAAGCCATGGGACACCAACCTGAGAATATAAACTGAATGCAATTAAAGTTGGAATATGAAATGTATAGGTATAACACTACCCTCAGAACATAAACCTTAATTATATAAATGCAACACAACCCCCAAGTTTGAATAAGGAATCCATTGTACACCAACTGGCAGACATAAACCCTACTTAAGTAGGCTACATAATATGTATCCATATTATGGATATTATGTGCCACTATCCTAAGAACATAAACCAAAATATGTCAAAAATTTTGTACTGCATTTTTTAATATCTTCAAGTTAAAGGATAACATAAAAGTTAAATGATATGCATATTCTTATTTTTGTAAGGAAATAATAAATCATTACCTATATTAAAATTTTTTTTTTAAATACTAAACAATTAGGTACCTATATTTTATTATTAATTTATTTTTGTAAAAGTAACTTTTTATTATTAAATTTGCTTTTACTACTCTTTTTTTGTAAGTTATAGAGTTTTTTAAGACTGAGGTAATGCAGTTATTATATCTCTAGATGAAAGTCCAAAATTTTAAATATAATCAATCAAAATTTAAACAAGTTTTCAATATATTAAATACCTTTTTTTGAATCCTATAATATTGTACAAGTATAAATTAAAAACTTTATTTTAAGAGAATTATATAATATTTTTAAACTAATTTATATATAAATTAGTTTTAAAATATGAATTATTAATATATTAAAAACTGGTTTAAATTTTGATTGGTCATATTTAAAATTTTGGACTTAACGTACTTTGGCTCTGAGTTATAGAATCTATACTATAGATAGATATGTAGATAGAGTTAATTTTTTATTTAGTTAGACTCAAGTGATTTTATTAAGTTTTTAGTTAAGGCCAGTTTGTAATTAATTTACTCCAATACACTTTAAAGTGTAAGTAACAATTGTTAACTTCTTTTTAAAGAACATCTTATGTAGTGTTCTGTTAATAATATTATTATGCTAAGTTAGTATTGTTAACAAACCCCTAATATTGTTAAACCTGTTAAATTCTTAAAAAGATCTTAAATATTCATAGAAAATTAATGTAATTTCGTATTTTATTAAGCACTATGAAATTGTGTACACCTTTCCTTGTAGAATCAGGTAATGAAGTGATAAGGATAGCAATAGTATTACTATAATCAATGATATAATATTGTTATTATTACTTATGCTTGGTTTTAATAATTTTCAAATTACTGTTTTTACCTCGGTTTTTTACTATTATTTAGTCGTTATGTGACTAAATAATTTTTATTTTTCATTTATGTTCTATACCACTTTTATTGGAAGTATCAACATTTTTATTTTTGTAAATATATGTAAATATTTTTTTAAATTTGTGTTTTTTTTAGAAAATTAAAAAATAATGAAATACCTAAATAGAAATTTAAAAGCCGGGCCTGCTATGTCCATCAACCAGCAGGAGTTTCTCTAGGGGCCATCATTCATCCCCCCTTGGACCAAGTGGGGATGAGGGCCTTGGTAAGATTTATCTCGACCCTCTCCCTAATCTCAAGTGAGATTTTTCAAATTGCGAATTTTTAGAATAAATACGTTAATCTGGGCTTGATTGATGTTTTTTACACTGTTTATCCTCTGTGGTGTTTCTCGAGGGAAAAAAATTACGTGATATTTGCCGAGCCCTCCCTCTACCCCACGTGTGATTGGATGAGAATTGGCTCTTCCCCCCTAAACGCCTCACTTAATTAATGGACGGCCCATTATATATATATATATATATCCTTTTTCTATGCGATCAGCGACTGTCTGCCCCTTGTCTCTGCTGTCTGCATTTCACTCTGTGCTGCACTTTAAAGAATGTTTCCAGTTTTTGATCTAGCCAGAAGGTAAGAAAGCGTTTGACATATTTATAAGCTGCAGCTTGTTGTTTTCGAGTTTTATAACCGATTTGAATTTTTTTTGTATTTAATAATATAGGTATTCAATTAATGACGATGCCGTAAAACTTTTATTTCCTTTATTTTTTCATTAAGAACGTTCCAATAAGAAAATATGAATATGGCTTGCATTCTTGCTTTGTTTGATGTAGGTAAGTGATATGCAGGTATTTAATGTTTAAATATTTTCAGATCCATGGGTTTCTCAGAGTGTATCATGGAGTGGAGTAAGGATCCCATCAGTATGAATTGGATGATCAAAGTTCGCTTGACGCAGGAGGACTACCAAGAAGGCGATATAGATATAAGGATTCGAAATAATACCTTAGTGGTAAGTCTAATTTACCTTGGTTGTTTTATTTCGATTGACGTGAACAAGGCCGACCCAGAGCCGGCCAGAGGGGGTGCAAGCGGTGCAACCGCACTAGGCCTCTGAGAATAGTAATGTAAAAAAAATGTACACTGTACAGTCAAATGTACATTGTACAGTCAAAAATATATTTATGATCGCAGTTATAGATATATGATTTTTTACAATACCTACATGATAGATGCAAAAATAAATTTTACTAAAAGTATTTTTAACAAACGTATGTTGTAATATATATATTCTTTTTACAGGTTATCGCTAAGAAGGTGGTTGAAGGTGGTAGCAGTGGTGGATCGACGCAAAGCTCTTCAAGGGCGGTCCATTCAAATAAAAAGGTGGTTTCACTTCCAGAGGGATTACGACCTATTAAAAAAATTGAAAGGACTCTGGACAACGGTACCCTGTTGGTAACTTTAATAGAAAATGAATGAATGTACCTATTTAATTATTTATTTAATTAATTATATATATATACCTACATACTTATTGAAAATAAATATTTTTGTTTTATTTTGAT